AGCAGACTGGGAAGACTACTTCCTTTGGGCATTTGTTTCATTTCAGAGATGCTCCCGGCTCAGTGGGGAAGCAAAGCAAAGTCCTGCAACCTAGACTGGGAGTGGGGCGTGAGCCTTAGGGGACGGGTCCTCCTGGGTGAACACAAACCGAGAGGTCTTTGCCTTTCCCCGAGCCCGCCCCTTAAGAAGCAGAGCATAGAGCCTGGCTCGGGCGAGGCGCAAACGCTGACTTCAGTCTTCACCCTGGGTTTCAGGTCACTTTGATTGTTTGCAAAACACGTTCTCTCTTTGTCACGTGCCAGTACTTGTTCTCTCTGTGAGTAAAACACCAGCGTCCTGAGGGATGCGCTCGTGCGCCAGTCTGCAGCCAGGGCGGTGGCTTGCTTCTGCACCTCCCCGAGCCCTCTGCTCGGAGGTGAGGATGCCCCGGAACGCAGGTTGTTTTCACAGGAAACTCGAGGAAGTTGCTACAGAGCTTAATCCTCTGAAGGAAAAAACAGATAGCTCTTGAGTATTTTCAGATCTTTGTTTTCAGTTTATTCAAGTCCAGGATTTTGGATAAGATTTTGGAAGAAAAGATTTATGCTTGAGGAATCTTTTTTTTTTTTTTTTTCAAGTGACTTCGCCAGTTTGAGGTTTCGTAGTTTTAGGGAAAGGGTTAAGAAGTTTACTTGGGGAAGGAGAGTCCTGTGTTCCGAAAGTTGCTTCCTGCTGACCCCTTCCTTTGCAAGCAGGCTTTGCGCACTCCCGCCGTGTGCCAAGCGCGTGCGTCATGGGCACACTCATTGGAGCCTGAGTGCAATTGGACCCCTTTATGTTTATGGACTTTTTGTGCAAATTACTTTAGTCTTTGAGCCAAGGGCAGAATGAAGGAATGACCCTCGGATGTGATTTCCAAGTTTGGGGCCTCATTTATGTTTTGCATTGCCCTCCTTTTTTTTTTTTTAAAGACAAAGTTAGCCTAAGTGTTAAGTTGTTTCATCCTTCAGAGCAGATTCCTCTGAACCCTGAAAATCAGGCTGTAGGATACAATAGACAGTGTTCGGGAAGCAGTTGAAAGATGAAGATGTGGGATGCAGGAAAGTTTGCTCAAACAGTCAAGCCGGAGGGGGAGACAGAGCCAGCCACCTCCCGGCACAAGCCAGGCTTGCTGTATATTCTCTCTTGGTGATCATGTTGCTTGCCATGATAGCAGGGCAAATGAGTGGCAGTATCTGAAGGGAAATCCCTGGAATTTCCACCCAGCATTTCAGAGCTCACAGTAAGCTCTATCATATTTTGCTTCAGATTTCAGCTTTCTTAGAGCCCTAAGTGATGTTGGGTGGGCCTGCAGCAAAACAATTCACTTTATAATCTAGGTAATACTCTGGGAGAAAACAGACACCTGAAATCAGAAATGATACGTGGAAAAAATGATACTAGGTATTTAATGGCTCAGAGAGAAAATAAAAATTCACTCTCAGATGTTTTATTAATTAATAGGAAAAGGCAGAAGATACCTGTGAGCCCATCTCTTTTGGGTATTTACAACTGAAATGCTATCAACTAGCAGTGTATGCAGGAGGTGCCTGTGATGGCACTCAAGCTGAACCAAGTATTACCTGTTATTTATGAAAGAAAGCAAAAACCAAAAAGCTCTTAGGGTTTTAAAAATGGGGAGGCATTTTATTAAACTTAAGATTCCTTCAGTCACCCTTTCTGAAGTATTCAATGCGGGTTTTTCTTGGTTGAAATGGAGGAAATGACAGTTTCCAACACAATTGATTATCAATATGAAATCTTAGCACTTTGCATACATTTTGGCCAGGTTCATAACATTTTTATTTAATGTGCTGTCCCACCACCCACAAAAAATAAAAGTTAAACAAAATATAAATATGAGCCAACAGAATTCTGTGAGAACAGCAAGTTTTGTTTAATAGTAATCTTTGCAAGGACATGCCAACATTCTACATTTGTGTGCTTTTTCAAGGCACTTTGGAATCATGAGATAGATTAAATGTAAGTTCTGCAAATTTGGGGGGTGTCGGTGTTCTCTTGTCCAGTTCTCCAAAGAGTGATTCTCCTAAAGTTCGTGTGGTAATTCCATTAACCAGAATATACGACTATCTGGGACACCCGCTCCCTCTTTTCTCCCTATAACAGAGTCTACTGTACTTTGAAAGTCTGGTGGATCTTTTGTGGTTTCTCCACAGTAGTAAAACTAATTTAACTCCAGGAAATGGAGCCAGCAATCAGATTAGATAACAGAAAAGAATAATGTGGCGTTCTAGCATAACATATACTCCGAAATACATGTTTACAAGTCCAAAAGTGTGCCACCAGGAAGTGCCCAGATCAAAGGAAAAACGACCAGAGAGGCTTGAGGGTAATAAATCATTGGAAGGTTGTGATCTGTAGTGGTTGCTATTCATGCTCCTTGGGTAGATTTAATTACAGAAAAGGAGGAGGGGTGGGCAGGCATTTTTCTCTCTAGTCACCTAAAAAATTTCGCAAGGCACAATGCTATGTTTAAAAAGCACAGGCAACTTTAAGGGCTTAAACAAATTTATATATACACTCAGAACTTAAGCTCCCAAGAAGAAAATGGACCAAAGATGTTGACAAGAAGTACTACAGTGGGGTTGGGTGGGGGTGAGGGTGAGGGTGGAATCCAGGTGACTCAAGGGACCCAACCTTACTAGCAGCCAGAGAATTGAATGGAGATGCCTTTTTCCCCTTCTGACATCAGGAAAGAAAGCAAAAAAAAATGTAATTAGGGATCATTTCCCCCTCTTTTTAAGAAGAAGTGCCCCACCTTGAGGCTGTAGCAAATAATGGTACTATGGTCCCCAGAAGAATTTTTTTTTTCAAAAGAGGTTTCCAGGGAGGCTTTGCAAAATTGTGAGGTCTTGGGCGGCCAGGTGTGTGTGTTCCCAGGGAGGCAGCTTTGGAGGGACTCGTTCAACACCTATCAAGAAGCCCCAGCACAACCCATCTATGTGTGCAGGTCTGCGGGCCCCAGGCTCGATCCACACAGACTGTAAAAATCTACCTCCACGGCGACCTCACTCCTTCTGTTACCACTGTCTCCTGGTGATCGGTTCCCCACGGCAACCTCACTCCTTCTGTTATCACTGTCTCCTGGTAAGCGGTTCCGCTGTTGACATACTTTATCCAAAACATTGGTGGTTTCTAAATAGTAGTTTCCCTGCGAGTGGCTGCCTCCAGTTGATTCATTTAAATTATGTTGACATAAATATTTATGCATATGGAAAGGGGCTTTTTCATGTTTCGTGGAAGCATTGCACCTTTTGGACTAGCAGTTTCTACCAAAATAAATAGGCAGAAGGGAAGTGTGTGGCCGCAGCTATGTAGCATGGAGCATAGGCATGTGCGGTAGGCAGAGTATCCATCGCAATGATACTGGTCAACGCCAGGAAGGTGTGTAATTGCCCAGAAATGGACCCTAACACCCGTTTTAAGAGATGCAGCCAAAACCCCAAAGCTGGAGGCCTCTCCCTCTGAGCTTGGTCTCCGCTTGAACGAAACAGCCCCCAATTTGTCCCTGCGGGACACAGGCCTGCCTTGTTTGGAAATCAGCAAAGTTTAGGAGCCCACAATACCTCACATAACTCTGTGTACAGTAACAGGGAGTGGAAATAGGGCTGTGAGCACGCACAAGCAGACAAGTTATAAATATAGACTACTCTCTCAATTCCTCTTCAGTTAGTCATGAGGGGACAGTGTGAGTTTTATAAACTTATAAGGAATATACAAACAGTTCCAAATTTAAAATAACTTGGAGTAATTTTTAAGTGTGTGAAAAGAATATTTTTTTTTTCCACCCTGTCCATTTACGCGTCTGTGACAGCTGGTACCTCGTGTGCTCAGGCCTGGTGGTCACAGAACTGGGCAAGAGTCTCAGAAGAACTCCTCATCAGATGGGGATGTTTCTCCTCCTTTTTGGAGAAAGATTCAAGGAGAGCTGGAGGAAGGGTGAGGGGTGTGAGAGACACTGTGCTCCCGTGAGGAGAAGCCGGCAGGGGCGGGTTCGTGCTCCTGTGTCTCTTCCGTGGTTTTTTCCTCCTACTAGAACTTGTCCGTATTTGTAAAAATTTCTATACAGTCTTCGGATATGAGTTCAGCAGAAGAAATCTTTGGAAGATGTTAGATAGTTTAAGATAGATTAGGATAGTTTGATTTTCTAAAGACTATATTCTGTTTTATAAATGCAGAAGCAGTGGAAGTCAGGTCCGCCCTGCCCTCTTAGCACCTGACTTTCTTCCTTTCCTTTTCCCTCCCACCGCTCTCCAGAGGCCTTTCTGGGAGGCAGCATCGACTCCATTTGCCAGGCCCTCCTCCAGAGGTGAGGATCATGAGGATACCTCATTTCCATCAGGCAGAGCCAGCAGGAGGGTCTCCGACTTGGGGACCCTTCCTCCACAGATTGCGTGGCTTTTCCTCTCATTTCCTACTATCAGAACAACAGAGTTTAGTCAGTGTGACAGGTTCAAGTCTTTCTCCCTTTAGGATAGATCCAGACCGTGAATAGATCCTGGAGTCCAAATAGTTGATGGAAGCATCAGCTTCTGACCGGCATGCCTGTGTTTCTGTCACTCACAGGAACAGAAGGGCTTGCGGGGCCAGCGTTGCTGCCTGCGGGTCACCAGAGGCAGAGCTTACGAACGGAAACGCAGGGGTGAGGGACTGACGCGCCACAGCACAGACGGACCTTGGCTGTGTCTTCCCACGTGGGAGATCCAGCCCCAGAGGATCACGTGGGGACCGGCCCCAGCCACATGGGCCCCGGGCACCGGTTTCGGGGAAGACACTTTTCCCATGGGTGTTGGGCTGGGGGCAGGGGGGTGGGTTTCAGGATGATTCGAGCACATTACATTTATTGTGACCTTTACTTCTGCTATTGTTACATCAGCTCCACCTCAGCTCACCAGGCATTAGATCCCAGAAGAGGCAGCTCTGTAGAGACAGAAAGTTGATCAGTGATCGCCTGGGGCTGAGGGGGGCAGGGGGGCAGGGGAGGGGTAGACAGCTTCCTCTTTGGGGTGATGTTTGTACAACTCTGTGAATATGGTAAAAACCATCAGTTTGTACACTTTAAATGGGTGAAATTGTGTATGAGTTCTATTTCAGTCAAGCTGTTATGAAAATTGTGAGGGAAGGGAAAAAAGAAAATCACAGCACCCACAGTAACCAAAATCAGAAGTTTAGCCAAAGGAAGATGCCTGGCCTGCCTTCTGCTCCTCACTTAGCTTTTGGTGTGAACTGCAGTCCTGTACTGTGTCTGCATTGATGGCTGTTCTTTCTTTACTCTTCCTAATTAGCTCTTGACATTTTTATTTAATAATGGTGCCCTGAATAACCTCCCTCCTGGTTTCTTGGTTGCCTTTTTCCTTTTTCTTCTGTTTTCTCAATGGTCCACCCAGCACTGCATATTAGATCCTGGAGACTTCAGGGATCCAGTAGTAATTTCTGTGGATGATCATTTCTTTTGCTCATTAATGAAATCCTCATAGATGCCTTTAGTAGCTAGTATGAAACATATCGTCAAACATCATAGCTTACCTGTGTACCTTGTGTACTAGTCAGTAGGGATCTACTTGGAACTTGGCTGTTTCTGTGAACTTAGATTATATATGTTTATGTGCTCAACCAAGGGGAAGGCACAGACCTGTTTTTTCTTTTTTCCTGACCGAGGTTGGAGCCTTGCTGAGACACAGGCATTGGTGAAGAGAGTGAACTCTGGTTATCTAATCTCATGAGTAAGACTTGTTTGGGTGGAAAGGGCTCTGTGGGTCGCTGAGTCTCCCCGGGTCTGGCTCTCCTGGCTCCTGACAGCACAGTCACTTATATGTGTGGTTGCCTCTGCCCCACAGAACACGCCCTCACTGCCTTCCATGACAGGAGCTGCTGCTTCACCACCGCAAGCAAGCACTGAGGGCCATGGATAGACTTGTCAGGGCTCAGCCTCTGAGAGTTCTATCTGCTGTAACCCAATAAACGGAGAATCACTGCAGATGGTGACTGCAGCCCTGAAATTAAAAGACGTTTGCTCCTTGGAAGAAAAGCTATGACCAACCTAGACAGCATATTAAAAAGCAGAGACATGACTTTGCCAACAAAGGTCTGTCTAGTCAAAGCTATGGTTTTGCCAGTAGTCATACATGGATGTGAGAGTTGGGCTATAAAGAAAGCTGAGCGCCGAAGAACTGATGCTTCTGAACTGTGGTGTTGGAGAAGACTCTTGAGAGACCCTTGGACTGCAAGGAGATCCAACCAGTCCATCCTAAAGGAAATCAGTCCTGAATATTCATTGGAAGGACTGATGCTAAAACTGAAACTCTGATACTTTGGCCACCTGATGGGAAGAACTGACTCATTGGAAAAGACCCTGATGCCGGGAGGGATTGGGGGCAGGAGGAGAAGGGGAGGACAGAGGATGAGATGATTGGATGGCATCACCGACTCGACGGACATGAGTTTGAGTAAACTCCGGGAGTTGGTGATGGAGAGGGAAGCCTGGTGTGCTGCAGTCACAGGGTCTCAAAGAGTCAGACACGACTGAGCGACTGAACTGAACTGAATAAATAGAGGGCTTCCCAGGTGGCGCTGTTGGTAAAGAACCTGCCTGCTGGTGCAGGCAACTTAGGAGACGTGGGTTCGATCCTCAGGAGGATCCCCTGGAGGCGGGCATGGTAACTCACTCCAGTATTCTTGTCTGGAGAATCCCATGGACAGAGGAGCCTGGCAGGCTACTGTCCATGGGGGTCACAAAGAATCAGACATGACTGAAGTGACTTAACACACACACCAAATAAATAATGAACGCTTAGTGGGCACATCATCCTTAATATCACCTGCACGCTTGACCCTTCTCCAGAGCATGATGTTTTGTGTTTTGTCCTTCCTCCAGACTAAGTGGTTCATCTTAGGGGGAAGAAGAGGATGTTGAAACTGGTGATTTATTTCTTCCTGGTGTATGCCAACCTATAGAGAAAAGTTGCACGAGAAGAGTCCCCTAGCCTTTGCTCTTGGACTGCAGAGCCTGGCGAGAACTTCGTGCCAGCATGGAGCAGAGCAGGGAACAGCCTGTGACCCAGTCAGATAGATCTGGGTTCCGAGCCTAGGTTTCCAGCTTGATAGTTATTCACGTGGATGATTAATAGAGCTGGAAAGTTATAAAATCTCTGTGCTTCCATGTGGGCATCTACCAATGAGCATAATGCTATTGCCCTATGTCATCGTTAACATTAAGTTACATAATATATATACGATTGAGTCCTGTGTTTAGACTCAGAATGCATTCATGTAGGAGAGACTCCAGCAGCTATTGTGAAAGGAGGACAGGAACGTTAAGTGATTAGAAGGTCAGAGTGAGCTAGCTGGGTGTGACAATGGGAGTTACCTTGAAGGGCATACAGAAAGCCCCCGAGTGTGCCGCCTCGGTCATGGAAGACCACTGCTGGGCTCCGTGCCCTCCTGCTCCAACCGTGCAGACGGCTTCTGCAGCCTTAGGTAGGTTGTGGACAGGTGTTAAGGAGCAGTGATGTTTGTGTATGTTGAATGAACTGTGGCTTGAGTATGGCCTTCAGGAGGAGGCCAGGATCACAGCCTTGGAATTTTGAGACTGAGCAACTGTCCAGGGCTACTAATCATTCACGCGAGTAACTATTAAGCTGCTAACCTGGGCTTGGAACCCAGATCTAACTGACTGGGTCACAGGCACTTCCCCTGGTCTGCTCCATGCTGGCAGAGTCCTCGCCAGGCTCTGCTGCCCAGAGGCAAAGGTGTGCAAGACACCAGCCACCTCCCTGAGTTTCAGACCTGAATGAGGCCTGGGGAGAGTGCCCTGGAGGAAAACGCATCCTGGGCGGGGGTGAGGAGGAACTTGGTCAAGCGGGGTGCAGTCGGGCAGTAGCACTTTCTCTAAGGGAAGGAGCTCCCTGCAGCTCTGCTGTGAGGCTCGCCTCGGTTTCTGAAGAGCAGTGCCTCAGACACGCATGGGATGATGACCTCTTAACTTCGTTTCATCTCTGAGGATCGGGGCTTGATGAAAAGCAGAGCGTGGCTGCAGAAGCCCTGGTGTGTTTGAGCTGGGGCAGACCTAAGGGCTCCGGGAGCTTCCCGTATGAGGGTCCCTGCTCCTGCATGTTCTGAAGCCACCTCCTGGCCCCTGGGAAGAAGTGAAGGCTGGAGAAGACAGGAGATGGGAAGACAGGGTTGAGGAGGGAGGTGTATCACTTCCTGCCCCCTCTACATGCCCTGGTGCTGCAGAACATCCATCTGCCGGCCCAGAGATGCTCTGTCCAGGGCCCTTGCTCTCAGGAAGGAAGAGGACTCAAAACTGAGTCTTGAAAACCCCTTCAAAGACCACGAGGAGGAACTCCTCTGTGCACTCTGGACTCGGGAGAAAATGAGTGCTTTCAGGCTCGCTGCGTTAATGGGTTCAGGAGCCGTGGTCTCCCTTTATTAATCAGCTGCAATCCATCTGCCGGCCCAGAGATGCTCTGTCCAGGGCCCTTGCTCTCAGGAAGGAAGAGGACTCAAAACTGAGTCTTGAAAACCCCTTCAAAGACCGCGAGGAGGAACTCCTCTGTGCACTCTGGACTCGGGAGAAAATGAGCGCTTTCAGGCTCGCTGCGTTAATGAGTTCAGGAGCCGTGGTCTCCCTTTATTAATCAGCCACTGCAGGCTCCCGAGAGCTCTGTTCTGGGATCTTCCTGCATGCCCCTGGGTGCCTTCTCCATGCTCCAGTGCTCCTGCTAACCTTGCTGCTTCCAACAGAGAAACCGAAGTTATCTTCAGCTTCTAACCATGACATTGTCTCTTAGTCTGGCCACTATGATGATAGAATGTTTTCTCCTGCACAGGAGGTGGTTTCTTTTGGCTTTGAGAAGAGAAAGGTTAGAGCGGATGCAGCTCTTCTTTCTGAATGTTTCAGACACCAGGGTTACCACCCGATTCCTCTTAACGGCTACAGTTTTCCAGGCAGAGAAGCCGGCTGAAATGAACTCAGCCTAGGATTTCTAGGCAGTGGTTCTCTGGAGTTTTCCGGTAGCAGTTTCTCAAGATGGTCAAGACAGAGTCTTCTTATCTTTCTTTTGAGAAAATTGTGCTTTACTCATTATAGGTATGCATGATTTATAAATATATATACACATGCATACAGATGTGTGTGAGTGGAGCTCACACACTGTTGTGCCAGGTTTGTTTTCATTTTATTTCACGAGTCTTAGCATTTTCGTGTAAGCCTACTTTTCCACGCTAGCTGACGTATTTAGAGAACTCCGGACTAAATCACTGGGGTGAGATAGCTTCACCTTGAGCCCCGGAAGCCTGGCGGCTCCTCTCCTCTCTACCCCTTTGGTGGTTTCTCTTCTTGGAATGGTGGGTGGGGAGGAGTATGTGCCTGAGGTCAAAAGGCAGGAGAGATGGAAGAGTACTTGGCAGGATGAAAGGCCCCGTGCGCCCCCCGGCCCGAGGTGGGCTCTCCCTGACCCTCTCTGCAGTTCATCATGGCTCCTGGAGATGGGACATCCGTCTGTCCAGCTGGGACATCCCATCAAGGTGGCTTACCCACCTTCTTGGCTGAAAGGACCAGCTCCTGGAGCTCCCCAAGCGGCAGGGCCTATGGGCCTCAGAAGCAGCCGCGCGGGCGAGCCTCTCTTTCTGCCCTCCTGCGGCTGGAGTTGGTGAGCAAAGAGGACGTAGTGAGGCCCCATCTCACCTGTAGGTCCTCGGGATCACGTTTGTGAGGCTTAGAAGAGGAATTCCATAAATACATTATTATCCTTACTTAAGCCTGAGCGTTGCGTTAGGTCTATCAAGGAGTGGAGCAGGGAAGAACAGAAAGGTGGGGCCCAGAATTCACAGCTGAGTATACGGAAATCCACTTGGGTGGGTTCTTTTAAAAGAATGTAGGTATCGGAAAGGGACTCTGGCGGGCGCCGCTGGGCCCCGTGGGCGGTTGAGGCCCCGCATCCCGCTCCTCCGCGCTGGTCTCTGCGTCCACCTGCTGACCACACCCCAGGGCGCGGCATCCACGCAGACGGCGTACCGGTTCGCATGTGCGCAGGAAGCAGCGCGTTCTGAACTGAAGCCGTCTCTCTGTGTCCCCGCTGGGGAACAGTTTCACCCCGCAAACCTGCCCGCTTTCCCATCTGTGTGGCTTCGTCTCGGCCACCGCCACGGCTCACCGTCGTGGGGCCCGGGGCCCGCGGGTCGCCCGGCATTTCTCTTTTCCGCTCAGCAGCCAGAGTGATCCTTGCAAACGGCGGACCTGCTCTTGCGACTCCCTCTTTAAAATCCTCTTTTCTCTTAAGAATGTTCCAGACTCCTACTCCTGAGTTAAAGGCCCTTCTGGTGGCTCTCTGCTGCCTCTCGCCTCCGCGCCCCCGCCCCCAGGTTCCAAAGCCCGTTTCCTGCAGTCACACGAGTCTGGCTCTCTGGTCCCTGCACCCCCTCCAGCCCTCCCATCACCCCCATGCACCCCTGAGTCCCACAGGTCTTTCAGGCTGGGGGGCCTTGCGTCCCTTCCCCTGGAAGCCCTCCTCACCGGCCCTTTGCTTGCCCTCGTGTTCCCACTGCTGCCCTCAGGAGCTGGGCGGTCTTACCTGCGGAACCTGCAGGACCGGGCCTGGCTGATGTCTCTAACGGTCAGAGGAGGCTTGCCCATCCTCCCAGTGAGCTGGCTCAGAGGTCTCTGGAGGAGAGGCCTTGGCTGGGCTTCTGGCCGTGCTGTATGGGGGCACTGCTGTGAGTTCAGGGGACCCCACCGGGGCTCCCCTCCCCGCGGTGTCTAATGGAATCAGCTCCTCTCCTGGCCAGGCAGGAAAACCACAAACTCTCTCTGGACCACATGTCTCCGGGATGTACTTGGGGAGTTGAAGTGTGCTTTCCTGGAGTTGCAGCCACTCATCTTAGCGCAGAGTGATGCCTGTCTCTTAGGAAAGGCACCCTCTTTTTATGTGGAACTGGTATGTCCCTTTGGGTAC